TCTCCTCAGACTGAAGAAGCTACTTGTGTGTGTGTGCTAAAGTGAACTTTGTGGCCAGAGATGCTGGAAGAAGACATGCCAAGGTTATCCACTAATGTTTCTAAAGCTGCTCAACATATACAAGAGCTTTCCAGCAATGAAGGCACCTGTTCTAATGGCATAATCAACAGAAACATATGTAGAATTAAAATGGTTAAGCTACAGCTCTGACTACTGAAAAGCATCACTAGGATTACAGTAGATGTGGATGGCTTAACGATTAAATAACAACAAAAATAACTTGAGAGGTGGAGGTAGCTATGCAGCATCACTAGAATTATTTTTTGCAGAATTATTGTTCTACCTTCAACTCAGAGGACACAGGGAAAAGAGAAACAGGAGACAGGTATTATGTGTAGTATACAGTAACTGACTGTCTTGCATACATGCCAGTGGGTCCTTTTGGATTTGAGAGACAATAAGCACACCAGTGAGGTAAGGTTGCAGTACTTGATTTAAAAGACAATGAAGAAGGAAAGACCACTGTAGAAAAATTACACAGAATGAATGAGTGTAACATAACACAATAACAGGAGAAATAAGGTGCAAAACAATACTAATGCAGCAAAGCCGAGACAACTGAATAAAGTAAAATAAATGAGATATGGCCTTCACCCTTTCTGCTTGCCAGCAGCCCCTGCAGAACTGCACTGAGTGGTTCCAAGCAGTTGGAAAACACTGACCCAGAAATGGCCTGCCCTTGAGCTCCCTGAACACTTTGGAGATCTGCTATGCCTTTACGTAGCGAACCAGAATCACAATGTGTTCCTTCTTAACGGGCAACATGATAAGAGAGCAATTCACTAACTGGCACTGTGATAAGAAGATAAATTACTGACTAGCAAAACAATAACAGAGATATCTTGAAAACATTTGACTAATGAACAAAGTGATGTCACCTTATACTCTTAGCTCCAAGTGTCTGAAGTTAGGCCTTTGCTAGCCTAAGACAGACACATTCTTGATTCTGCCATTGGCTTGATGCAGCTGAGATAAACATGTGCCTTTTCCAGACAATCCTTTCCCAGGCCAGGCAGAGGACATGAGAAGAGAAGCAGAGAAGTGGCTTCTTGAAGAGACTTCCTAAAGGCCTGGGCAAAGGCGGAAGCCTATGAACACAAACAAGCTTGACCATAAAGGAAACATTGGTACTACGATTACGCCTGCTTGTTATGATGAACGTCATCCATGTCAATACTACAGTGACTATACCAACAAGGAAAGAGAAAACAAAGGCAAATCAAAGAGCAGAAAGAAAGAGTGTAAGAAGGAAAAGGAGTGGGAAAGGGGAAGAAGTGCAGGAGAAGTGAGCATCTGTATGGAGTAACTCAGGTAATCTGGAATGGGCTGAAATCTTTCTATGTGAAAAATGATCTTGTGAATTGCTGAAATGTTTTGGTAGACCTTCAAATTGTTGACCAAACAAAGACATGGCTATGGTTTGCAAGAATGTGTTGAACTGCCCTTAGAAATTTCTCTCATCTACCTGAATCTCCTTCTGTTTTCCTCAGAATTGCTTGGTAGAAGGAGTCCACCATCACAACTTAACATTTTGCATAACTCAAAAATTTACAGCAGCTTCAGAGCATGACCGTATAGAGGTTTACTCTGGGTTGACCCAAGTGTCTCCTTGCTGCACTCTGGCATTTAAAGTGCTGGCCCTGTTCACACAGAAATGTTTTATTATTCCAGTAAGGTGCCTTACAAGAGTCTACATGACACACAGTACCCCGTTCCTACCACAGTTCTCTGTATCACCACTGTCTTACTAACCCCTTTCACCAGCATTCAAATATTTTTTAAAAAAGAAAATGAAATAACACGAAATGACATAAAACATATGTTATTTGAATTAATGATGTATCAGGCTGTATCATAAATTAATATAAAACTGTCATCACTTGTTACCACTGATGTTCTTGTTCCTCATGAACTGGCCTGATTCCCACCATCCAGACTGGTGACTGTCTTGTGGTTGCAAATTCTGCTATTTGAGTTCATGTTTCTCATAGAACTACTTGATCTCTCTCTCCTCCACCTTTTGTTGTTCTTATGTGGTGTCAAGCCACCTTTGACTTATGGCGACCCTGTGAATGGGTGATCTTCAGAATATCCTGTCCTCAGTATGTGTAGCTTGCATAATTAACTTGTAAACTGCCCAGAGAGTGTTTTAAATGCTATGGGATGGTCTATAAAAACTTGTAAACTGCCCAGAGAATGTTTTAAATGCTATGGGATGGTCTATAAGCAGCACACTTTGCTTTGCTCAGTAGCCCTGCTCAGCTCTTGTAAACTCAAGCCTATGGCTTCATTTAGGCAGTCAGTCCATCACATATTTTGTCTTCCTTTTTTCCCTGTTTGCTTCCTTCCATCTTTCTCTCCCTTTCTCCCTGTCTGCAAAGAAATATAAATAAATAAATAAATAAATGGTGATTCCAGACAGATTGAGTAGTTCTACATGCAATGTTGGTTCCTCAAGGAGAAGCAATTTCATCTCAGCCATCGTTTGACAGATTTTTCGTGGTTAGTCACATTAGTATATCTGTCAGATATATTCACCCATTTAAATATGCTCAACTTCAAGGAGAAAAGGTTACAGTTTTTCAAGTCTAAGGAAGCATAATTTATGAACGGCAGTAATGGATGATCCATCCTGCTAAACTCCCTGTTGAACATCAGTGTGCTCTAGAAAGCGGTCATACAAATTGCACAGTCAGGCACCCCCGTTGAAAAAGCCCTGCTTGGCATTGCCACCTACACCTAGCATTCAGCAAGATTCCTGGTTAGATCAGACCCATTTTGCTACACCTCTTTGCAGGTCCAGCAACGTTGCAGAGTTTGGAATTGCCCATAAGCCAAACAGTGCAACCCCACTTCGTCATCTGATTCTTTTTCCTTTTGGGAAAGATTTTATGGTCAGACTTGAGCAAACTGGGCATCAGGGGTCCAGTTTTCCACCTATGAGACCCACTGTGAACCACAAGATCTCTCCTCCATGTATAAAAGAAATAATCAAAACCATGATTGACCAGAAGTCCCTGTTTCATGGGGGCAGGGAAGTATGCTCCATGTTTTCACAAAACCACTGCTGCAGGCAGCTTGCACATGTGAAAAAGATGATGAAGGAGTCAAATGAGCACACTTTTATAAAAGAATAACTTAGCTTAACAGCAGCCATGTTGCCTCTGTAATTTGCTTTGCTTTGCTACATAAATGTGTAACACAGTGGTTCTTAACCTTAACTCAGGTGTTTTTGGACTGCAACTCCCAGAAGCCTTCACCACCAGCTGTGCTGGCTGAGGTTTCTGGGAGTTGCAGTTCAAAAACACCTGAGTAACCCAAGGTTAAGAACCACTGGTGTAACATATTATGTCAGATTTCTGCTTAGAAGACAGAAATAGACAAGGAAGGAAAGTCGCCTGCTTTCCTTTGCTTGCAAGTACTGTAACTGGTTTTAATTGGGAATTAATCCTTGTTTACTGATAAGAGAGCTTTGGTACCTAGCGCTGAGACGGGAGAGAAGACTTATGGCCAAAAGCCTAGGCACCAGCAACCCCTCCTTTGACCCCTCCTTCTCCACACCCCTTTGCCTCCCTCCTTTTCATCTGAATTTATAAAATATATATTCTGCATATGCCTCTCCTCTGCTTGTTCTGGTGGACAGAGATGTGTCCACTTACTTTTGCTTCTTTTCAGCTGAAAATAAACAAAACTATATTGGATCTCCTTGTCCCTGGTTAATTGAAAATGTATCGGAGACAAGTTAATGTCCAGAAATTAGTTCTGGCACCCTTCAACATTTTCTAGCTTTCGTTTTCATGTGACATTTTGTATAGTTAGTGTCATATTAATGATTTTATGTACTTGTGCTTTGAGTTTCTCCAGCAAGAATTAAAGACAACCACAACTCAAAATACCAGACACAGTTAATCAAAATTCTAAAAGCATAGACCAGTAATATATTATACAAGTTTTAACCAATAACCAAAGTATCTGTTAAATATTGGCACAGTATATATGCTGTTCCTAATATTACCACTTTTTTGGTAGTTCTGATCGTGTTATTTCTGAGATCTGCAACTGCTTATAATACTGTGTGAAATTTCTTGATATTGGTTGTTGTATGTTTTTTGGGCTGTTTGGCTGTGTTCTGGAGAACATGGCCAAACAGCCCTACAGCAACCATTGGATCCCGGCTGTGAAAGCCTTCAAGAATTTCTTGATATTGTTTGCAAAGCCCCAATGACTGCGAGGACCGCTGAAGTGTTTTGGGCTTTCCCACATTTCTTTCCAAAATTTTAGAGCATCATCTTTACATGGGCCTAAATTCTTTTGCTCGGCATTTTCTCCTAGTGATTTATAGAATAATTGTTGGTTATTTCGAAATTGAATGTTTTCTCTATATTGTTTCAAGTGTCCATCATATCTTTCAATTTTCTTTGCTGTAACTGTTACCCATTGTTTTAATTCTGCCATAATTGCAACAATTGTTTTCCTTTCTAGGTCATGTATTTTGCATAGTCTGGCTTTTACTTCTTCATTTTTTAGTTTTGAATCTTTCAAGTATTTTAAGTTACTAATGTCTGCATGTAATTTGTTTATTTTTCCCCCAGCCCAAATTCCTGTCATTTTATGATGGCAAAGTTGGACCAGAAGATAAACTGACAAACATAGTCCAATTTTTGCATTTATGTTGTTCCAGTAGCTTTGCAGCAGCCTGTTCTGGTTCCTCAATAGGGTCTGTTGAGCCCTGTAGCCCATTCATCACCAGATGTCCAGGGGCTATAGCATCTGATGTGGTCCTTGTTGACCCAGGCAATGACCGATCTGGTATGGATTTCTGTTTATTTCCTCTCATCATATGTGATGGTTGGTGGACACAGTCGGTCTGGTTTCTCAGCTGAGACTTGTCTGGTTTGGGAGGCCCTTCAGCACAGCTCTCAATCTCACTGAAGCATGCAAGCCCCTCTGCCTCAACAAGGCTTGTTTCCATGGAAGGGTAACAACAACAACAACAACAACAATTTTAAATTTGTGTGGAAATATTCAATTAAAATATTATAATAAGAGTATCTGCATTAACAGATTAACTTATTTCTCCCTTCTTTCCAAATGTGAAGCCCCTTCATGAGAAATTTTACATAAGTTATGCACTTTAGGGTATTAAATCTTGAGTTAAGTCTTGGTGGTCCTCAGCAACAGAAGATATTTAAAGGGGCTCCATGGTAAAGAAAACGTTCAGAACTGCTGACCTAGTGAGTACCATGGTTCTTGGGTGACTTCAACGTGCATGCGGAGGAGGAGGTTTCTGGTCCAGCACTTGAGCTCTTGGAGACCATGGCCTCCTTGGACATGTCCCAACATGTCAATGGCCCCACCCATGTGGATGGCCACACACTGGACCTGGTGAGTGTGCTCCGATGTTGACTGACCTTGTGTCTGTCCCCTTGTCATGGTCAGATCATGGCTTAATTAAATGCAACCTCTCAGTGGCTCTCCCTCACCGCAGGGAGCAAGGACTATTTTAATAGTCCACCCTTGAAGGTTACTGGATCCTATAGGATTCCAGGACACCATGAGCAAGGTAGTTGAGAGGGTGGTGGCTGATCAGCTGCAGGCTCTTCTGGATGAAACCAATGTCCCGGATCCATTCCAGTCAGGCTTCAGGCCGTGCCACGGCACACAAACGGTACTGGTCACCCTGTTGGATAACCTGTTGAGGGAGGCTGACAGGGGCAAAATGTCCTTGTTGGTCCTCCTCGATATCTCAGCCACCTTCGATACCATTGACCACGGTATCCTCCTGGGGAGGCTCTCCGAGTTGGGAATCGGTGGCCTGGTGCTTGCCTGGCTCCGATCCTACTTGGAGGAACGTCCTCAGAGAGTTCGGCTTGGGGAGAGTGTCTTGGCCCTGTGCAGACTCAATTCTGGAGTTCCGCAGGGCTCGATCATCTCCACAATGCTGTTTAACATCTGGGTGGGGTCATCAGGGGGTGTGGGGCATTGTGCTATCAGTACGCTGATGCCTCTCAGCTCTACATCTCCTTTTCACTAACTACAGGGGATGCCGTTCTGTCCCTTCAGCGCTACTTGGAGTCTGTGCTGCAGTGGATGCAGGAAAATGGGCTGAGCCTGAACCCGGACAAGACGGAGGTCCTGAAGGTGGGTGGCCTCACCATCAGTGGTCTGGGAAACTCTCTCACATTTGGGGGAGGTGACTATTACTGCAAAAAGTGAGGTTCGCGGCTTGGGGATACACCTGGACCCGGCGCTCACCATGGAAACTCAGGTCGCGTCAATGGTCCATACTGCCTTTTTTCATCTTTGGCGGATAGCCCAGCTGCATCCCTATCTTGATGTTGGGGCACTCACTACTTTGGTACATGCGCTCGTAATCTTGAGATTAGACCACTGTA